GACTAACAAGAAGAAAATCAAAAAGTATCATTGTAGAACCTGCTCTCATGGTTTTCAATCAGAAGGACTGTTAAAGAAACACGAAGAACAGGGATGTCTAGCAGTGGAGGGACAGAAAATAGAAAAATGTTGGGGAGACTATAGCATTCCAAAACCATTTCAAGACACTACAAGCTCCCTTCGAAATCTACGCTGACTTTGAATGTTTGACTGTGCCCATTGATGTGAAAAGCATATCGGCAAAAGCTAAAACTACATCATATCAAAATCACCGTCCTTGCGGTTTTATGATTAATGTAGTCAATGCTATAACTGGAAGTAGTGAGCCTTACTTATACAGAGGTGAAGATTGTATGGATAAGTTCGTTGAGAAAATCAATAAAGTCAGAGAAGATATGATTAATAGGATGAAGGAAGTAAAAGAAATAATCATGACTGAAAAGGACAAGGAAGATTTTGAAAATGCTAAAGAGCGCTTCATCTGTGGAATTGATTTCAAGGAAGGTGACAAGAAGGTTCGTGACCATTGTCACTTTACTGGAGCTTACAGAGGATGTGCCCACGATGATTGTAATCTTGGTTTTAGTATGAGATATGATAAAACCCCTGTGTTTCTTCATAACCTTCAAAACTATGATGCCCGCTTAATCATCAAACTGAACAAAATCTCAAGAATAGATGCAATAGCCCAGAAAAGTGATAAGTTCATAACCTTTGATTTTAAAAACCTTTGCTTCAAGGACAGTTTCAGTTTCTTATCATCTTCTTTGGATAAGTTGGTCAAGTTGAGTAAGTATGAGGATGATAAAAAGCGTAAGAATTGGAAGAACAATTTCAGATACAGTGTCAGAAACCCCTATGTCAAAACTGATGAGGATTTGGATTTACTGACTGACAAGGGCATTTATCCTTATGAGTAATTTGATGACTTTGAAAGAGTTAAGGAAAGGCAACTACCACCTAAAGAAGCGTCTAACAGCACATTGAGTGAAGAACATGTAAGTGATAAAGATTATGAAAGGGCATTGAAAGTATGGAAGCACTTCGGGATTAGAACACTTGGACAGTACCACGACTTGTATTTGAGAACTGATGTTTTACTACTGACCGATGTTTTTGAAAACTTTAGGGACTTGTGTATGGAATACTACGGTTTAGACCCCGCTCATTATTGCACACTTCCTAATTTTGCGTTTGATGCGATGCTTTTAAAAACTGGTGTGGAAATAGAACAAGTCAGTGATAAGGACATGTATGAAATGATTGAGAAGGGTATGAGAGGTGAAATGTGTCAAGTCAGTCATAAATTAGCAGTGGCAAATAATAAGTATATGGTTGAAAAATATGACAATTCAAAACCGAGTAGTTCCATAAATTTCTTAGATGCTAATAATTTGTAAGGTTTGGCAATGTCCCAGAAGTTGCCATTGAACAATATCAAGTGGGCAAAGAAAACTCCAATGTTGAAAAGTGGGATCAAAGGGATGAGTTTGGCTATATCCTTGAACTGGCTTTAGAATATCCTGAAGAATTACATGACTATAACCCCGACTATTTACTAGCACCTGAAATAATGAAAGTAACAGCGGATATGCTTTCCGATTATCAAAAGCAAGTCTATAAAATATGTTATGACGGGAAAACCCCGAAGGACGAGAAAACATGTAAGTTGATATTAAATCTAAAGGATAAAGAAAATGGGTACAGTTCATAGGATAATAAAGTTCCAGCAACGAGCGTGGTTGAAACCGTGGATTGACTTCAACACTGGTAAAAGGAAAGAAGCCAAAAGCGATTTTGAGAAAGAACTCTACAAGCTGATGAACAATAGTGTATACGGTAAAACTATGGAAGACAAGCGAAACCATATGGTTTTGAATTAGTTGATAATGAAGAACGATATGAAAAGTGTGTGAATAATCCAACATTCAAAAGCAGATTTATAATAAAGGAAAATCTTGTAGGGGTGGAGAAAACTAAAGCAAAACTGAAACTGGATAAACCAATCTTTTAAGGAATGACTATTTTAGATTTAAGTAAATTACATATGTATCAGTTTTATCTTGATGTCCTTAAGAAGCAGTATAACGAAAACATCAAATTAGTATATACAGATACTGATAGTTATGTAGTTCAAACAATGACTGATGATGTCTATAAGGATTTTAATGAGATAAAGCAACACATGGATTTTGGCGACTATCCTGTTGAGCATCCATGTCATGACAAACGTAATAAAAAGGTCTTAGGAATGTTTAAGGATGAATGCTCTTCAAAGATAACTACCAAATTTATAGCTCTCAAACCAAAGTCATATGCTTTTACAATACACGGTGAGGATGATGAACATAAAAAACCAAAAGGTGTAGTGAAACATAAGGTTAAGAAAGAACTGACTTACCAAAGCTACGAGGAAGCATTGTGTGAAAACGAAAAGCATGAAATAAAGTACAATTTCATTCGTAGCCGTAATCATCAAATCTTTTCAATGACTCAAGTTAAGCAGAGCTTGAGTAATTTTGAAAATAAAAGACATGATTTTGACGTCTTCAATTCAATTCCCTCTGGACATTACAAACTACGTTAAAGAAAAGATGACTAAGGATATTAATGGATACTAATAGATATAAACACGGTAAATTCTATAAAATAACTGAAGTAGGCTATAACAAGTGTTATATTGGAAGTACCTGCGGGAGTTTAAGTCAGAGAATGACAAGACATAGAAGTAATTACAAAATACATCAAGATCAAAAGTATGGAAGGGCGTCATTTGAATTATTTGATGAATACGGTTTGGCCAGTTGTAAAATTGAACTTATTGAAAACTACCCGTGCAGTAGTAAAGAAGAATTACAAAGACAAGAAGGACACCATGTAAGCAGAACTGACTGTGTGAATAAGCAAGTCACGAGAAGACCAGCAATAGAATACCGACAACAACCAGAAGTTAAAGAACATAGGAAAGAGTACAACAAAAAATATAGAGCACTGAACCGAGATAAACTAAATGAGTATGACAAAGCAAAATATGAAAGGAAGAAGGAAGAAAAATTGAAAAAGATAGAATGTAATGTATGCGGTCAACTTATTAGGAATGACTGGATGAAGAGACATCAAGCATCAATCAAATGTCAAGCAAACAAAACAAATTACAATGAAAGTAATTAAACTATTAATATATCTAAATAGTTCTAATAAACCATGAACTTACTAGAACTATTTAGTGGTACGTCTTCGGTTGGAGTTGTTGTAAGGTCGCTCGGTTATAATGTTATATCCTTGGGTTTGAAAAATGCTGATATTAATTGTGATATTCTTGAATGGGACTATACTCAGTTTGATAGAAACCATTTTCAAGTAGTTTGGACGTCGCCCCTTGCTTTGGGCACGTTTTGTCATTTGTCCCCTGTGTTTTGGGAAATTGCGCCCTGCCTTGGGGACGTTTTGTCATTTGTCCCCTTGCCATTTGTCCGGACGTTTGTCCCCTTGCTTTGGGGACGTTTTGCCATTTGTCCCCTGTGTTTGGGGAGATTGTCCCCTGCCTTGGGGACGTTTCGCCATTTGTCCCCTGTGTTTGGGGAAATTGCCCCCCTGTTTTGGGGACGGTTGTCCCCTGTGTTTGGGGAAATTGCCCCCCTAACTTGGGGACGTTTGTCCCATGGAAAAGGGGACACTTGATTACTGATGAAGGGTGGCGAAGACTGAAACAATGTGAGGCTTTAAGTGAATTACAAAGGAAATGGAAACCGTCTAGTTACACTGAACGAGTAGGAGAAAGTAGATATTATGCTTAGCAATAAATGTTTGAAAGGTGATAAAGCACTTTCATATGCGTTGAAACCACCAAAAGAATTATTAAGAATGATGAAGTATGATGATGAAATGCAGGTTGGCATAGAAGTTAGTTCAAAAATTATGTATAATAATAATATTTGCAGTTGTCGTTCTTATTCATCATCTAAACAGAATAAGATTTCAAGTAGAGCATCATTAAAATTTTATCTTCAAAACATAGTTGAATAAATAAATCAGACTATGAAGCGACACGAAATCATTACTATAGAACATATGACAATTGAAATTTATAGAACACAGAAACAATAATTGCGTGGTTTAATCAGAATATGTACTTATAATATGATTAAACAGTACAAACGTTTATAACCTTTCATTATACTGTAATTTTAACCTATAACAGAATTTCAATGACAAAAACCATGTCAAAACAAATACACCACCAACACCCCAGAACATTACAACTACTAAAAGGGCTACCTCTTTCAAATCGACAAAACGTCAGCCCCCAGCCCAACAATGAAACAGGCAAGACAAAACCCAAATGACCACCTGAACGAAAACGATATATAAGCTCCCCAAAAACCTCTTTTAAAAACGGATAAGGTGGTTAATAGGTTTGAGGTGAGTGTAAAAAGCATAACAGGTGACCATCAACAGGTCAACCCTCAGAATCACCCTTTCTACCATTTCCCCCCCCCCGGCCCCCCCGGCAAAGCGGAAGCGAGACCCCAAGACTGAAAATTTGACATTGTCCGGCTTGACCGGTTTCTCTGTGGCGCGTGAGGGCGAAATCGCAGTCATGGAACCGGTCACTTAGAACGTTGTCTGCAATCCGGTCAAATTGCTGGCTGGCTACGTAGCCCTCGGTCCTTGCCTCAGACCGCGGCTCTCCTTTTAGCCCTTGAAGCCACGTGGGAAACCAGCTCACGCATTTCGGCGCCGACTCACTCGCTCAAAAAAACACGACACTTCAAGGCAAGCCAAAGCACAGTACCTCAAAGCCAACCAAAAGAATACTGGCCGCGGGCAGTGCAAAGCGTTTACAATTGTTGTCTCGCAAGGACAGATGCCAATGCAATTCAATGCATGCAAAGGTTTTCGACCGAAGAGAAGCGCACACTTTATACTCTGTATGCATGTTGGCGAGCTGCATTCCTCCAAATGAGAAAAAGAAAAAGCGCCCCCCTGGGGCTCCACACAGTCGCGCCGCTTGCATAGTCGGCCATCCCCCTTGGGCCCGATGCATTTTGCTCTCTCGGCCATGAGCGAAAATGCGAAAACGACCTTGGCGAAACAGAAGTGAAACAAAGCCGCGGTTTTGGACACCGACTGGAGCACAACACCCACTTTGTTGGGGGTGGGGTGGACCGCGCATATAAACACTTCAATTGGTCGCAGGCACAACGTGAGACCACCCCATACCCGCCTGGGCCTGCCAAGGGTCACGGTTTTGGTCACTGTTCACCCTCGCCCGCAAAACAAAAACGATCACCTGCGACGTCTGCATGTTCCGAGCTTCTGCACTCCAAGAAAGGCGCTTGAGATTGCAATGGTTCAGCTCATGCCAGCCTGAAGATGATGGTCCGCTGCGGATTGGACCCATTCAGAGACTCAAGTTCCCTCATATGATTGAAAGCGGATTGAAGCCCTGCAAGGAAACTAAATATGGACGTCTGCCACTTTCACTCAACCCAACATCTGCCGGCCCCGGTTTAGACTTGCTCCCGCGTCCTGTGAATGGCATTGTGAACACCGAGAGTACAAGGCCGAGACAAACCATTGCATGCAATAGAGCAGAAGAGCAATGGCCCCTCTTTATACGCCCTACATGCCATACATGTGCCCCATAGTTGAATGCGAAAATCAAAGCGACAAGAAAAATTGGACCCGTTCATGACAACGACCTGCACAAGCTTCATGTCGCTTGAATACAATGAAAGCACACCAAGACAATCATGGTTGCTTGCAACATTGAGCCCTTAATACCCGAAGCGCTGCAACCTGAGGCCGACCTTGCCAAGGAAGACCCCAATGGTGCTTGTTTCGCCCACCTTTCTCGGAATCCTTGAAAGGGTCACCCGAGCACACGCTTCCAGCTGTACTTCCTCCAAAGAAAAGGCTGTGAATACTCAACAACCCGAAGTCTATGACTCGCAGGTTGTGAGTCGGTAACGAGTAAAGAGGACTCCAGACGTAAGCGTGCGTCAGACTGGAGGTCTCTTTCAATCGGGAACCCTGGCGACTGGTGGCTATTGCGATTGCCCCTTTCGCATAAACGTCCAAATGCTAAAGTCAAGCGTCCAACTCAAAGGTGGCCAAGCTTGCGGCGACCAGTAGAGCACAGCATGACGCCCACCCGACTTGGCGTCAGTGTAATCATCCCTTTCACACTAACAGGGCTCCCTATGCCCCCAAAAACATCACTCCACTCTCCACCAAAAAGGAAGCTCACTCTAATTTGGCAACCTGACAAGGTGATGCTTGAAGCCGGTGTCTGTTGAATCCAACCAGAGGTGATTTGGCCGGGAAGAGCGGGAAGTGAGAGATGTTTTGACCACTGCAAATGCACCGGGCCCCGGATTCAAATCCTATCCCCACCTGGCTGCACACGTTCCAGCTACCAACGAGACAGCCATGGGATAGAAGACTAAACGAGACTCCCCGTCATGGATGTTGACCGGGACCCCATAGTATTGACCGGATTAACTGACCTTGCGCATTGAAAGGGAAAGGAGTCCGCAATACCCTCCTATTGCCATAATTACCCATAACTGCATTACTTATGAGTTCCCAGCTGCATGTTCTACCATTCCAAACCTAGGAGAAAGGATTGACAAGATCCTCCAAGTAAAGGACACATAAAACGTGCAGCTCTCACTTGTTTCCCAAAGTGGTCTGAATCCAACTAAACAGGGACACACACCCCGATGAAAGTCAGTGTCGGCCCCAGATTCCTGAATGCTAGGGCCTAAACCAGTGGTCTGATTCCTAAACCAGCCATCAAAATCCGCCGGGGGTTCCAAGAAATCCACGGCGCGCGCCTCATGCGATGATCCTTGCCTCATGTCTGCCCGCCGCGAGAACTCGCCTGGGACATTCGCCTTCTTTGGAAGCCTTGGGAAAATTGGCCTTCTTCTCACCCACGAGACAGCCCATGGAGTGGAAACCCACCCATAAAGGGGGGGGAGGTCCCGCACACAAAAGCTCTGCGATCGCAAGCGAAACAGATTTCCCCCCCCCCCCCAAAACAAAAAAATGAAGGGCAAGCAGGGGGCTTCTCCAACATCGAATACATCCAGTGAGAAGGGCAAAGAAACAAAGATCGCTCCATCCAACAGCTTCCTTCTAATTGTCAATTAGCTGGTCCGAAGCAGACCACTCATGCTCACTTTAGACATTAACCCTTACCGTACACCAAACTACAGAATGACTCTTCGGCGCATGGGAATTGCGAATTGCACTGCATCCTGCCAACAATGCATAGATTGTAAGACCAGGTGAGACCGGCAGAGCTTAACATATTTTGACTCCAACGGCTTTTCTTCCCCGAAACGCCGAGAGCGCAAGACAAAGACAATGACGCAACCAAAAGAAGAAACAACCCTCTGAGGCAGGAAACGCCTCGCCAAAGACATGTTCTTAGTGCTACTTAGGGTGTTGAGAATCGATTTGATGTGAGTGGTCCGTACTGTCACTCATTTTTGTTGAAGCACGTGCACCCAACTGGGCTCCCGAACTACCTCAGATCGATTCCTGTCTGATGTCCCGCCATGCGAGCTGAGAACACGGCGAGTCGCATGCCGACATGCCGAAATGCAAGTCGCATCCGCGACTACGAGGCAATGCCCATTGCGAAAATCACCGCATCTTGCGCAAAGTCAAAAAGCCCCTGACACGTCCACGTACTGAGGCCCGGACTGCCACTTTGTACAGTCTCTCGCAACAAACAAAAATTCCACAATCACTGCAGCAATTCGCGGTGCATTAATAAATATGCTTGTTCAGGCCAAAACTTGAAAAGCTACATCATTCCATGTACTTTTAATTGACCCTATACTAATAGCCCTTGTTAGGGCAAACTCAAATTGGAAATGGTATGTTTAATGTTGCCTCTTATATCTTGAATTGACAACTCCGACAGTGTGCCTTGAGCAACCTGAGCGAAACAACCACTCAGCGAGTGGAAACAGGAGCACCACCCGGATTCTTGCCCCAAACAGCGTAAGACTCCTCAACAGCCTTGACATTGCACCATTCTTTCTCGAACAGCCCTCAACATAACATGTGTGTGTGTGTGTGGGTGTGCCACATGTGGAACAAATGCATTCCAGACAAACCTCTCTCCAAATGGTTGATTTTGGACTCCCTTCAAACCCTGTTTAATCCAAAAAGGTGCCCGATTCTAGCACACAGACCAGATCCTTCCACTTGAAATCATTGCCTCGAATCTCAGAAAGCTTGTAAAATAAAAGAGAAGCGCCAGGACCAGCAGATTTCCCTACAGGGTGCACACAGTGCCCCAGCTGACACAAGGGAACATCCCTCTAAATGTGCGTGTGTGACTTCCAGCGCATGCCTTGCGTACCAAGCCTAAACACACTTGAGCAGCTCTCTTTTCAGCCCGAGTCCGGTCCACTTGCCAAACTCATCCTCGGCCTGCGCGTACCAACGGATGCATTTCATCGGTGGATGCAACTCCTTGTTTCCTGGTTCGGCAGAGAATGGCAGCGATGTGGGCGCTGTAATGACAACCCCGGATTTTGTTTCAAACACAAAAACATATTCTAGTAGGGGCTGTCCAACTGGTTTTAGTGGGGATTCAGACAACTGTTGGAGGGGCCCCCACCCCCACATTAATGTACAGGGGTGTATTCATCCGTTCACCATTAACTGGCTCGGGAAATCAATAATTACAGCACCTCATGCCCAGAAAATCATTTGTATGGAGTATGCATGGGCTGCAAGCCACTGGGTAGAAAGCTGAGTCGGCTCTCTCTTCGCTTCACAAGATCTGCCAGAACGACAGCCCTGCCTCACATCTCCCTTGCCGCTCGCAGAGGCGAAGCCGTGTAGTTCGCCCAATCACCCCAGGCGCTGCCAGTCAGGCCATCCTGCATGCACCCCAAAGAGTACCTCATAAAACCAATAAGGTTCGAGTATGCAGCGTGTGAAACAACAAATGTGTTTGGAATATGTGTGCAGCTGGGTATAGCAAAACCACATCGGTGACAGCTATGATTCGACATAGACAACGTCGTAATAAAAATATGTAAAGATGTGTTTTTTGAAGCCCTGATACTGTTTGTTCTGATTCCACATTCAAAATACGTTTATGAGATGTCTGTTTCGATTTACGAGACTCATCCGGACCACTTAATACTCCTGCATACATTGAAGGAGTTCGTAAAGTAGCTAAAGACAATGCTCTTTCTGGGTATTGTTGAATACGCAACAAACAAAACACACACACACACAAAGAAAGATATGACGTCGGCCACAATGACTCGCAAATCATAGCACGGACATCACTCAGCTCCAGCATAGGACAAAGCTGCTAGGCATGGCTCTAAAATAACGCGAAGGGAAAAAGAAACGCATGTCGTCCGCAAAACCTCACAGCATGCAGTGCGTCAGTAAAGTGGTTTGAAGCCGAACGCTCTTGGAACCCGCCGGTAAACTGTGTCGCATACACGAAGTCATTCGACAAACATCTCCTGGAAAAACATTCCGATGATCGCCATCATGGCCAGGCGACCGTTCGCAAGCTCGGCGGCAAGCTTAGTTTTCTTGGCCTCCGGGTCGGATGCGGTGAGCACCTTGAATCCGAAGTCACCCGCTGCAGCAGGAGTTCCCGCCGACTGGTCCTGGGACACCTCGCAGAAGGCCATATAAGCCAAGATCTGACCCCACCCTGCAGCAGGCACTTTGGAAATTGCTGCGAGCCCATTCGGGACATCTGCGAACTTCAAGCCTGCGGAAGGGCTCAAATAGCCTGGGAATTTTCCGGTGATCTCCGGCGTAATGTAGCCCATGGTAGCCTTGGTCAATGACGTCAATGTTAAAACAAAAACCTGAGATAGAACTATGTTCTACTCGCATCATTGTTGTGAAACAACAAGACGTAAGATATGAGTAAGATGTTACCAACCGTTGATCAAGTCGCAAGCATGGAGATTCGGCCATGCTTCAACTCCGTCTGGCGCCTGCGCGCAAAGTTCTCGGTGCTGCCATCCGCGGTAAACCCAGCGGGATCCCAAAATCCAACTGGCGCCTGCACACCGAGCTCGTTCTCGAAAGCTCGCAGAGGGGAAGCAGTGTAGTTGGCCCAGTCACCCCAGGCGCTGCCAGTCAAGCCATCCTTCGCATGGTTTCAACTAGCACTGAAACACTGAGATGACTTGAATGCACTATGGCGCACTATGCTGCACTACAACGCACTATGATGCACTAAGCGTGTGTGTGCTGTGAAAATCAAGGAACTCTGCTGATTCACAAGTCATACCAGTCCAAGCTTGAAAGATTCTCCGAATTACGCGGAAACTCTGCCCCGATTCAAACAAAGCAAAGGCCGATCATCTGTCAAAAACATGCAACAGCCATCTCCACCTAAGACTCAACACTCTGTGTGCGTGTGTGTCTATCAGTACATACATACATATTATATAGTTGTATATCATGCATGATACAACTGCACGCTGTGTATGTATGATGCGGTTGTTATCCTCAAAAAAAGTTATTCGCCCACATCGCCTGAAAGAACATTCCGATGATGGCCATCATGGCCAGGCGACCATTCGCAAGTTCGGCTGCAAGCTTAGTTTTCTTGGCCTCCGGGTCGGATGCGGTGAGCACCTTGAATCCGAAGTCACCCGCTGCAGCAGGAGTTCCCGCCGACTGGTCCTGGGACACCTCGCAGAAGGCCATATAAGCCAAGATCTGACCCCACCCTGCAGCGGGCACTTTGGAAATTGCTGCGAGCCCATTCGGGACATCTGCGAACTTCAAGCCTGCGGAAGGGCTCAAATAGCCTGGGAATTTTCCGGTGATCTCCGGCGTAATGTAGCCCATGGTAGCCTTGGTCAATGATGTCAATGCTTAAACCAAAACCTGAGATAGAACTATGTTCTACTCACATCATTGTTGTGAAACAACAAGACGTAAGATATTGATAAGAGATTGCCAAACCTTGACCAAGTTGCAAGCATGGAGATTCGGCCATGCTTCAACTCCGTCTGGCGCCTGCGCGCAAAGTTCTCGGTGCTGCCATCCGCGGTAAACCCAGCGGGATCCCAAAATCCAACTGGCGCCTGCACACCGAGCTCGTTCTCGAAAGCTCGCAGAGGGGAAGCAGTGTAGTTGGCCCAGTCACCCCAGGCGCTGCCAGTCAAGCCGTCCTGCACAAGCACAAGAGTTTGCCTAGCACCAAGATACGTTTACACGTGTATGTGTATACATATATATATATATATATATTCATAATTGGTATACATACATTGGGTGTACTTGACGTAAACACTAAGACCAACATGCACTAAGCACATGCGCCATCGTGCCGTAAAGGCTTAGAACGCCTAAGGATCCAGACAAATCAATGGCAATCAGCATTCCACTGCACAGTGTTACAAAGTATACTGATTGAGATGACAAAGGTGCCATGCATCTCACTCTTCACTTGATTTTGGCTTGCGGTGGTTGGTGCAAACAAACTCAAGCACGAAAAGGCAAACACACCGATCACAAAGTTCACATTTGTCGTCCAATGAATCACAATATGCAGTGCATCCGTAAAGTGGTTTGAAGCCTAACACTACTGGAACCCACCGGGAAGCTGCATCGCACACACAAAGTCGTTCGATAACGTCTCCTGGAAGAACATTCCAATGATCGCCATCATGGCCAGGCGACCGTTCGCAAGTTCGGCTGCAAGCTTAGTTTTCTTGGCCTCCGGGTCGGATGCGGTGAGCACCTTGAATCCGAAGTCACCCGCTGCTGCAGGAGTTCCCGCCGACTGGTCCTGGGACACCTCGCAGAAGGCCATATAAGCCAAGATCTGACCCCACCCTGCAGCGGGCACTTTGGAAATTGCGGCGAGCCCATTCGGGACATCTGCGAACTTCAAGCCTGCGGAAGGGCTCAAATAGCCTGGGAATTTTCCGGTGATCTCCGGCGTAATGTAGCCCATGGTAGCCTTGGTCAATGATGTCAATAATAAAACCAAAACCTGAGATAGAAATATGTTCCACTCACATCATTGTTGTGAAACAACAAGACGTAAGATATGAGTAAGATGTTACCAACCGTTGATCAAGTCGCAAGCATGGAGATTCGGCCATGCTTCAACTCCGTCTGGCGCCTGCGCGCAAAGTTCTCGGTGCTGCCATCCGCGGTAAACCCAGCGGGATCCCAAAATCCAACTGGCGCCTGCACACCGAGCTCGTTCTCGAAAGCTCGCAGAGGGGAAGCAGTGTAGTTGGCCCAGTCACCCCAGGCGCTGCCAGTCAAGCCGTCCTGCACAAGCACAAGAGTTTGCCTAGCACCAAGATACGTTTACACGTGTATGTGTATACATATATATATATATATATTCATAATTGGTATACATACATTGGGTGTACTTGACGTAAACACTAAGACCAACATGCACTAAGCACATGCGCCATCGTGCCGTAAAGTGGTTTCAATGAAGCCTGCACACAAAGTATACTGAAGATGGATGCATCTCACTGTACACGGGAAGCTGTCAATCGCAGTGCACACAAAGTGCGTTCGATAACGTCTCCTGGAAGAACATTCCAATGATCGCCATCATGGCCAGGCGACCGTTCGCAAGTTCGGCTGCAAGCTTAGTTTTCTTGGCCTCCGGGTCGGATGCGGTGAGCACCTTGAATCCGAAGTCACCCGCTGCAGCAGGAGTTCCCGCCGACTGGTCCTGGGACACCTCGCAGAAGGCCATATAAGCCAAGATCTGACCCCACCCTGCAGCGGGCACTTTGGAAATTGCTGCGAGCCCATTCGGGACATCTGCGAACTTCAAGCCTGCGGAAGGGCTCAAATAGCCTGGGAATTTTCCGGTGATCTCCGGCGTAATGTAGCCCATGGTAGCCTTGGTCAATGACGTCAATGTTAAAACAAAAACCTGAGATAGAACTATGTTCTACTCACATCATTGTTGTGAAACAACAAGACGTAAGATATTGATAAGAGATTGCCAAACCTTGACCAAGTTGCAAGCATGGAGATTCGGCCATGCTTCAACTCCGTCTGGCGCCTGCGCGCAAAGTTCTCGGTGCTGCCATCCGCGGTAAACCCAGCGGGATCCCAAAATCCAACTGGCGCCTGCACACCGAGCTCGTTCTCGAAAGCTCGCAGAGGGGAAGCAGTGTAGTTGGCCCAGTCACCCCAGGCGCTGCCAGTCAAGCCGTCCTGCACAAGCACAAGAGTTTGCCTAGCACCAAGATACGTTTACACGTGTATGTGTATATATGTATGTATATTCATAATTGGTATACATACATTGGGTGTACTTGACGTAAACACTAAGACCAACATGCACTAAGCACATGCGCCATCGTGCCGTAAAGGCTTAGAACGCCTGAGGATCCAGACTAAGCAATGGTAATCAGCATTCCACTGCACAGTGTTGCAAAGTATGCGCTGATTCAATTGACAAAGGCGCCATGCATCTCACTGTACACTTGATTTTGGCTTGCGGTGGTTGGTGCAAACAAACTCAAGCACGAAAAGGCAAACACACCGAACACAAAGTTCACATTTGTCGTCCAATGAATCACAATATGCAGTGCATCCGTAAAGTGGTTTGAAGCCTAACACTAATGGAACCCACCGGGAAGCTGCATCGCACACACAAAGTCGTTCGATAACGTCTCCTGAAAGAACATTCCAATGATCGCCATCATGGCCAGGCGACCGTTCGCAAGTTCGGCGGCAAGTTTAGTTTTCTTGGCCTCCGGGTCGGATGCGGTGAGCACCTTGAATCCGAAGTCACCCGCTGCTGCAGGAGTTCCCGCCGACTGGTCCTGGGACACCTCGCAGAAGGCCATATAAGCCAAGATCTGACCCCACCCTGCAGCGGGCACTTTGGAAATTGCTGCGAGCCCATTCGGGACATCTGCGAACTTCAAGCCTGCGGAAGGGCTCAAATAGCCTGGGAATTTTCCGGTGATCTCCGGCGTAATGTAGCCCATGGTAGCCTTGGTCAATGATGTCAATGCTTAAACCAAAACCTGAGATAGAACTATGTTCTACTCGCATCATTGTTGTGAAACAACAAGACGTAAGATATGAGTAAGATGTTACCAACCGTTGATCAAGTCGCAAGCATGGAGATTCGGCCATGCTTCAACTCCGTCTGGCGCCTGCGCGCAAAGTTCTCGGTGCTGCCATCCGCGGTAAACCCAGCGGGATCCCAAAATCCAACTGGCGCCTGCACACCGAGCTCGTTCTCGAAAGCTCGCAGAGGGGAAGCAGTGTAGTTGGCCCAGTCACCCCAGGCGCTGCCAGTCAAGCCATCCTTCGCATGGTTTCAACTAGCACTGAAACACTGAGATGACTTGAATGCACTATGGCGCACTATGCTGCACTACAACGCACTATGATGCACTAAGCGTGTGTGTGCTGTGAAAATCAAGGAACTCTGCTGATTTACAAGTCATACCAGTCCAAGCTTGAAAGATTCTCCGAATTACGCGGAAACTCTGCCCCGATTCAAACAAAGCAAAGGCCGATCATCTGTCAAAAACATGCAACAGCCATCTCCACCTAAGACTCAACACTCTGTGTGCGTGTGTGTCTATCAGTACATACATACATATTATATAGTTGTATATCATGCATGATACAACTGCACGCTGTGTATGTATGATGCGGTTGTTATCCTCAAAAAAAGTTATTCGCCCACATCGCCTGAAAGAACATTCCGATGATGGCCATCATGGCCAGGCGACCATTCGCAAGTTCGGCTGCAAGCTTAGTTTTCTTGGCCTCCGGGTCGGATGCGGTGAGCACCTTGAATCCGAAGTCACCCGCTGCAGCAGGAGTTCCCGCCGACTGGTCCTGGGACACCTCGCAGAAGGCCATATAAGCCAAGATCTGACCCCACCCTGCAGCGGGCACTTTGGAAATTGCGGCGAGCCCGTTCGGGACATCTGCGAACTTCAAGCCTGCGGAAGGGCTCAAATAGCCTGGGAATTTTCCGGTGATCTCCGGCGTAATGTAGCCCATGGTAGCCTTGGTCAATGACGTCAATGTTAAAACAAAAACCTGAGATAGAACTATGTTCTACTCACATCATTGTTGTGAAACAACAAGACGTAAGATATTAATAACAGACTCCCAAACCTTGACCAAGTTGCAAGCATGGAGATTCGGCCATGCTTCAACTCCGTCTGGCGCCTGCGCGCAAAGTTCTCGGTGCTGCCATCCGCGGTAAACCCAGCGGGATCCCAAAATCCAACTGGCGCCTGCACACCGAGCTCGTTCTCGAAAGCTCGCAGAGGGGAAGCAGTGTAGTTGGCCCAGTCACCCCAGGCGCTGCCAGTCAAGCCGTCCTGCACAAGCACAAGAGTTTGCCTAGCACCAAGATACGTTTACACGTGTATGTGTATATATATATATATATATTCATAATTGGTATACATACATTGGGTGTACTTGACGTAAACACTAAGACCAACATGCACTAAGCACATGCGCCATCGTGCCGTAAAGGCTTAGAACGCCTAAGGATCCAGACAAATCAATGGCAATCAGCATTCCACTGCACAGTGTTACAAAGTATACTGATTGAGATGACAAAGGTGCCATGCATCTCACTCTTCACTTGATTTTGGCTTGCGGTGGTTGGTGCAAACAAACTCAAGCACGAAAAGGCAAACACACCGATCACAAAGTTCACATTTGTCGTCCAATGAATCACAATATGCAGTGCATCCGTAAAGTGGTTTGAAGCCTAACACTACTGGAACCCACCGGGAAGCTGCATCGCACACACAAAGTCGTTCGATAACGTCTCCTGGAAGAACATTCCAATGATCGCCATCATGGCCAGGCGACCGTTCGCAAGTTCGGCTGCAAGCTTAGTTTTCTTGGCCTCCGGGTCGGATGCGGTGAGCACCTTGAATCCGAAGTCACCCGCTGCTGCAGGAGTTCCCGCCGACTGGTCCTGGGACACCTCGCAGAAGGCCATATAAGCCAAGATCTGACCCCACCCTGCAGCGGGCACTTTGGAAATTGCGGCGAGCCCATTCGGGACATCTGCGAACTTCAAGCCTGCGGAAGGGCTCAAATAGCCTGGGAATTTTCCGGTGATCTCCGGCGTAATGTAGCCCATGGTAGCCTTGGTCAATGATGTCAATAATAAAACCAAAACCTGAGATAGAAATATGTTCCACTCACATCATTGTTGTGAAACAACAAGACGTAAGATATGAGTAAGATGTTACCAACCGTTGATCAAGTCGCAAGCATGGAGATTCGGCCATGCTTCAACTCCGTCTGGCGCCTGCGTGCAAAGTTCTCGGTGCTGCCATCCGCGGTAAACCCAGCGGGATCCCAAAATCCAACTGGCGCCTGCACACCGAGCTCGTTTTCGAAAGCTCGCAGAGGGGAAGCAGTGTAGTTGGCCCAGTCACCCCAGGCGCTGCCAGTCAAGCCGTCCTGCACAAGCACAAGTGTTTGCCTAGCACCGAGATACGTGTCCACGTGTACTTTATATATATATATATATGGTATACATACATGTATGTGTGTGTGTATAAGGATCCAGACAAATCAATGGCAATCAGCATTGCACTGCACAGTGTTACAAAGTATACTGATTGAGATGACAAAGGTGCCATGCATCTCACTCTTCACTTGATTTTGGCTTGCGGTGGTTGGTGCAAACAAACTCAAGCACGAAAAGGCAAACACACCGAACACAAAGTTCACATTTGTCGTCCAATGAATCACAATATGCAGTGCATTCGTAAAGTGGTTTGAAGCCTAACACTAATGGAACCCACCGGGAAGCTGCATCGCACACACAAAGTCGTTCGATAACGTCTCCTGGAAGAACATTCCAATGATCGCCATCATGGCCAGGCGACCGTTCGCAAGTTCGGCTGCAAGCTTAGTTTTCTTGGCCTCCGGGTCGGATGCGGTGAGCACCTTGAATCCGAAGTCACCCGCTGCTGCAGGAGTTCCCGCCGACTGGTCCTGGGACACCTCGCAGAAGGCCATGTAAGCCAAGATCTGACCCCACCCTGCAGCGGGCACTTTGGAAATTGCTGCGAGCCCATTCGGGACATCCGCGAACTTCAAGCCTGCGGAAGGGCTCAAATAGCCCGGAAATTTTCCGGTGATCTCCGGCGTAATGTAGCCCATGGTTGCCTGGGTCAACGTTCGAATTCAACCTGGAAAAGAGCACGTGCGCTCGATTGCCATCATGCCGGTTAAAAAAAATACGCTCGGGCGATATCCCCAACAGCACCACACCCTCCCAGAATCCTCGCGGAACGCCCCGAGACTATCCTTACCGCCGGTGTTGCTGAGGATGCCGCCTTGAAAAGCAAAGCTTTGACGGGGCCCGACTGAGTCGGGCCCCGGTCGGGGCCCGACGGCGCGGTCGGGACCCGATCGGGGCCCGACGGCGCAATCGGGGCCCGATCGGGGCCCGACGGTGCATATTGTAGCTCAACGCCGGTTTTCCTTAGTATGCGGATTGCAACTGTATCTATAGCAAAACTAGGCGATGCCAGCTTGGTACAATTGACGGGGCCCGACTGAGTTGGGCCTTGATCGGGGCACGACGGCGCAATCGGGGCCGATCGGGCTCAAACGGTGCAGTCCGACAGTGCAATCGGGGGCCCGGTGAACCTCGCAAACCGTTCTCACGCAACTTTCGTGGAGCTCAGCGTGAAACTTTGCTGGAACCTTTCCTCAGGGCTGCCCCATAGCTTTTGCAGAATTTGGTGGAAACCTTCTGACCTCATAGCCCTCGCAGTGGAGTTCTTGGGACCCAATGCCCACCAAGCAGCAATGCCAAGCGTTTACTCTGCTGCACCGTGAGTTCCGCAGCGACGTAATCTGATTTGCCACAAAGCCAACATTTGCCAGTGAGCAAGTCACAAAACAGTGAAAGCGTGCTAAAAACCATTGATTTCGGTTTTGCTTAGTGTTCCGCCCATGAGCAAAGCGATCTTGATCCGATGGCTTTTCAGACCACGGGCGCACGACACACCCTTGGTGGAGCATTGTGGGGCCTTGTGGAAATCGTGTGGAATCCTTGCAGAGCTTTGTGGAACCCTGTGAAACCTCAGGGCCCACAGCCCTCGCAGAATCTTGTGGAACCCTGAAACCCTCATACAACCTTACCTCAAACCACCCGGACCACCCTCGCAGAACCTCGTGCGACCCTGCTAGAACCGTGCTGGAATGGAACCTTACCTTGCAAACCCTGGTGGAATTCTGGTGGAATTCTCACGGAATATTACCCCAAACCAGCCCGGACCGCTGGTGGAACCCTGGTGAAACCCTGGTGGAACCCTCGTGGAACCTTCCCCGGACCACGCCGCACCCTCGAAGAAATTGGTGGAACCCTGGTGGAACCCTCGTCCGGAGCACGACGGGCTGGTGGAACCCTGGCGGAAACCTAGTGGAACGCTCGTGGAACCTTACCCCAAACCACCCCGGCCGCAGCCCCCGCAGAACCTGGCGAAACCCTGGCAGAATTCTGGTGGAAATCTGGTGGAACCCTCGTGGAACCTTCCTCAAACCAGACCACCCCAGCCCTCGAAGAAATTGCTGGAACCCTGGTGGGACCCTCGTGGAACCTTACCTCAAACCACCCCGGACCACCCTGCAGCCCTGGTGGAACCCTCGTGGAACCTTACCTCAAACCACCCAGACCACCCCGCCCTTGCAGAACCTGGTGGAACCCTGGTGGAACCCTGGTGGAACCCTGGTGGAACCCTGGTGGAGAACCCTGGTGGAGAACCCTGGTGGAGAACCCTGGTGGAACCTTGGTGGAACCCCTGGTGGAACCCTGGTGGAACCTTAGCTCAGGGTCGCCCCGAACCACCCCGGAGCCTATCCGGGCTGAGACCCCAAAGCTTTCAGCTGTTGGGGGAAAAAAACGATGAGAAGGTTACCCGTGCTGACCAAGCATCGAGCATGGAAATCCTGCCATGCTTCAACTCCGTCTGGCGCCTTCGCGCGAAGTTCTCGGTGCTGCCGTCTGCGGTAAACCCAGCGGGATCCCAAAATCCAACTGGCGCCTGCACACCGAGCTCGTTCTCGAAGGCCGTCAACGCGACCTGCATAGGAATGTGCTGAGCTTGGCATGTCTCTCAAGGCATCAGCCCCATTCCTTCACCCGTCATTTGTTTGACTACCGAAAACTGGGCCATGGTTTGAGCAAGAGGATCCCTGGAAGAATGAGGAAGTGCGGCTGGTATGTCAGGCTTGGCTTCTCCTTAGGTTAAGGAGCGCACCAGCTGGTGCTTCCGATTGGCTGCACTGGCCTTGGACGCTTCACAAATGCAACGTGTTCAATTGCACACGCGCCTTCTCCTCAGACTTGAACGAACATGTTGATTGTTTCTTTTTTTGCGGTGATGCATGCGCCAACAACACAACTTGAGTATTCAGCCGTGATTCAACTCACAAGCAACATTTTCTGGCGCGCGATGACACACATTCCAATAAAGCTCCGGCTGGTGAGATACAAAGGGTTGCCATTCGACCCCACTGAAACCGAAACCTAAGCTCCAGACCTTGCGGCTGGCAAAGGCCGCGATCGCCGTGCCCGCCACCGCCATGGCGGTGCTCGCCTGGCGAGCAGATAGTCAAATCGTTCTGGTGGACATCAAGTTACATAAATGCAGTTATGGATTATGTCCGTCTGCCTTGCTGGAAAGTATTCCAATCATTCAACTCTGTAGCCACGGTCGCTCATCTGAAAATTGGAGGCGCCTCCAGTCCAGACACTGGAGCGGAGGCAGGAGTTGCTGCGGACACGCTTGCCTTGGAGTCAGCTCACATCTAAAAGCGCCCAAAGCCCGGTGTGCCACAGGCAACCTCTACGGGTTGATTTCCGTTCTGTTCAACCAGTGTTCATTTCAATCGGTTATTCCCCTTCTGTTTTGGAAAGAAGCATTGGAACGACTTGGCAAAAACAATCCTTGAGCAACAGATTCAATCAAATGAAATTGATAGTATCCCAGGGAGCAGCATATCGTATTGTGTTTTTTACTATAAAAAAGGGAAGGTGTAACACTTCCAGAAAATAAAGCTTAGTCTAGGAATATATTTGGGAGGAACATTAGGAAATACAAAAAAGGCATCAAACATATTGCAATTAATAAACAAAAAGTAATCGATGGCTATGTTATTCAATTGGCATCTTTCAAGAAAAACAAGTCGCAACCATGAGTGAGTGAACTCTCCGCCACAAAGTACAAAGCAATTCAGCTGAGAGCCTGACTCGAAGGTTTCCAGTCCGTGTGGTAGGCGCAGACACGAAAGCTGCTCCGCCGAAGAGTGCGACACCTCTCAGGCACCAGGTAACGCAAATCGCAAGTCGCCTTGCCAAGATCAGGCCCACTTGTGCCATCTTTACGGACACTCTAAAGTGGTGTGATCGAAGAAAGGCTGGCATTGAGCATAGACCTACCCAGCTGAAACTCGCACTGGCCCCCTCACAAGCCAAAGATCCGCAGCGTCGAACAGTATAGTGATTCAGATGCATAAAAGGGGAGCCCCAGCAACCAATGACTACTACTGACAACTAGTATGAGTCTGAGTCACTATCACCAACATTCAGCGACTCTAAGAGCCCATGCAGGACCCCCGACAAAAAGCACCAGCAATCAACAAGCTTTCTTTTGTGACCCCCTTGCAGTCAATGCCTGCGGCAGCCGAGGCAATAGTGGTTCGGGATGCGGAGGCCATCCTCAGCACAAGCGCAGTGGCACTGCCAACTTTCACGAAAGATAATGCAAAGCTGCACAATCTTTGTGAACAATCAGGCCAAGCATCTTTTACAAAAAGTTGGTAAATAAAATAGAAGCGCTAGGGCAGGAAAATGTCTCTACAGGCTGTACAAAGCTGGTACCCTTACTTCTCTGAGCCGAGACGTGAAAATCATTGCTCGCAATGCGGGTGACTTCCAGTGCATGACGCCATCCTCTTGCTTACCGGCAACGGTTGCCAGCCCGAACACGCCTCAGCGACTCTTTTTCGGGAGTCCGGCGCCGCCAAATTTCGCCACGGGCGCGTACCGAATGCAGCACATTGTGTACCGCGTGGCCCCGCCCCGCACTGTGACTTGAAACTTCCGCAGAGCACTCTGTACCCAGTTGGATGGGCTGCAAGCCGTGCAGTTGGGATTGTAAGATTCGGCCAGAGGGCCTTGTAGTTCGCCCAATCATCCCAAGGTACAAACATCATATGTTCGACAACAGCATCGTATGCAGTCTCCCCAACTGAGTTTCTTCAAAACAAGTCAGGTCAAGCCTTCGTATCACCCCAGTAGTCAAATGGGAAAGGCGGCCACGTAGCCACTTTGTAAAGACAACCCTGCCTCCCACTAACATGGCACCTGTGCGAGGGTACCTGGAAGATCAAATCCCCGTTTCCCCTTGTGGGTAGCTTCTTGTTTGGGTCGTGGTTTGCCCGGTCAACACGTTGGTGAGTTGTTGGAGGTTGTTAGGGAACCAACCATGCAGAACAAGCAACACTGCCCAAAACGGAGAGGGTGTAGCCCAACTACTCAAACAGCAAGCCACGTTGCAGGCCCTTCTTAACTGCTGGTTGATTCTGCATGCGGCAAACATCCCGAGCAAGAACGGCTCCTTCCCGCACATGCAACGTATCACAGCAGTGATGTGAAAACAAAAACAAACAAACACCAAATCAAACAAATAAGGAAAAAAAAAAACATATAATTCGTAGAAGGGCAGACTTTGCCTCTTGGGCAACAACATGCACCGCCCATGAACCCGGCTTTGGGGCTCGAAGATGTCTCGCACGCAAGGCGCCCAGTGCCTCCTTTACCGCCAGATTATGTCTACCACGGTCGTGGAAACAAGTAGACATTAGGGCCAGGTCCAACTGCCTCGAAGCAACGCCAGGAATTTTCATGTCCCAACTTAATTCATACCCAAAATCTCGCCAACGGGCGGAAGAGCCCCAGCTTCTGGTATGGCTGTGGGTCAAAATACGTGCCCAAAATGGAACCCTGGTAGATGGAAACATGGACTACAACCTGCGGTCCATGTCCTGGTGGTTTAATTTTGACCCATACCCGTACAAACCACACAAACAAAACAAAACAAATAAAACAAGCAAAACAAAACAAAAAACATACAAAACAAACAAACAAACAAGCAAAACATTCAAGCAAAACAAACAAAAAAACAAACAAAACAAAACAAGCAAAATAGACAAAAAGAAAAGAATCAGAAAAATCAAACAAACAAACAAAACAAGCAAGCAAAACAAACAGAACAAGCAAGCAAAACAAGCAAAACAAGAAATAAAACAAGCAAAAAAAACAAAAAAAACTGACAAAACAAACACAAAACAACACAAACAACACAAACAAAAGAAATGAAGAAGAAAAACAAACAAACCAAACAAACAAACAAACAAACAAACAAACAAACAAACAAACAAACAAACAAACAACAGCAGCAGCAACAAACAACCACGAAGCTTCGAGCTCTCGAGCGCCCACCCGAGGCGGAACCTGGGAGAGCAGCTGCGCCATCCGCTGGTGCGGGAAGGCGGCCTCGTGGCGGTTCGAGGCGGTTCGAGGCCCCTTGGCCTCCCTCTGGGGTCTTTGAGACCCTGGTCTTTCAGGGGTCTTTCAGAGTTCGTTTTTTGATATGTTTCCATTTTGTTCTTTGTTGGGGGGTGTTAAAGGGAAAGAGCCAAAGCAAGCTGGTCCGAGTTCGAGCATGTGGGTGGCTCGGTTTTTTCGTGCGAATGGGGACCCTCCGCGCCGCCATCAAAGGCACGCCCATTTTGAGGAACGCCTGGCCCATGGCGTGGCCTTTTCACATAAGCATCGTTCCCTCTCGAGGGGCCCGTTTGGCCGACGCTAGGGCCCCCAAACGAAGCTTCTTGGCCGACGGTCCTCTGCCCACTTCCTCTGGAGGCTCTCTGCTTCAGAGGCAGGGGAAGACACGTGCATCCCTTTGTCAAACCATCGCATGAGATAGCGGTCGCGGTGGGACCCCAAATGAACACATCTTCCATTTGCTTGCTGGAAAAGGATGCCCCTTCTGAATGGCCCGCCACACAAACACAGTGGTTGGGATAACGTAGGCTGACGGCGGTGACAAGAATTGACATACGAGGCTCCAAAAGGCCCTGAAATCGCATCTCGGGATGCTTTCTGTCGGCGGATTAGAACGGCATTCCACAAACAAGTCACAATGCTCTGATCGCAGGCCGACAAAATTTCAGGAAGCAAAGCAATCACGTCTCAACATGCGCCTAGCGATATTCTTCAGGCAGCAAGCTTTTCACTGGCACATCTGTCTCTGTTGCAATGGTCATGATTTCAGCACCGAGACAAATGGCTGTTGGTCAACGTTTGCCCCTTCCGTTTCCTTCGCAGCCCCCTTGGTCCCCCAGATATCCTCCCCTGGAATTTACGCTCCCGAAGCCCTAAGAGTCCTGAGAGCGCCGCATAGAGCGACGCTTCCGAGGCTGATCCAGGGGCCTTCGGGAAAGCTGCATGACGTGTTTTTAGGCGCGTTTGAGGGCTTGGTGCCCTTTTCAAGTTGGTTGAAAGGAACGGGAAAACCAACATACTATAGGGGCCTAACGAGCTTTGATGTATACCCGCGTGCTAACACCTGAAATCAATGTCTGGCGCTGGGTGGCTTTAGGATTGGTAGGGGCTTAGGTTGGGTTCAGTTGGCTTAGTGTTGGTGTAAGGCGAGCTTAAGGCTTCCTTAGGATTTCTTTAGTGTGGGTGTGGTGTGGGCTTAAACTGGTGATTGTTAACTTGCAAACCTGCTAACTACCCCCCCTCCTTCCGCTTAGGCATAACATGTGGGCTTTTTAACGAAACAAGTGTTTGTTGATATTGAAGTATAGCTTGTTGATGTTCGCATCCCCCAAATCTTTGGCAATAAGCAAGTTTCGAACTAGAGAACAACCCAAAGACAACGCTCGAAAACAAAGAACTAGGCAAAGCCTTGTGGGAATGCTGTGAACGGAGGCGAAATCTTAAACCCAGGGCTTGAGCAGACCTTCTATCTGTTGAGCTATGATGATACCAGTGTTGGCCTCAACGCCCCTTGGTTTCTTTTAGCTAGTCTGAGGCAACCAAAAGAAGAAAAACCCTCTGAGGGAGGATTCGCCTCGCCTAAGAAATGTTCTTAGTGCTACTTGGGGCGTTGAGAATCGACTTGATGTAAGTGGTCCTTACTGTCACTCCTCATTTGTGTTGAAGCAAGTTCACCCAACTGGGCTCCCGAACTACCTCAGATCGATTCCTGTCTGATGT